AAGAAGAAGAAGAAGAAGAAGAAGAAGAAGAAGAAGAAGAAGAAGAAAAAGAAAACATGAGCCCAGAGTAAAGAGGCCAGTACTGAAAGCAGTTCTACTGACATTTATGTAGCCTGTTCCCTGCATGTTCCTCTTCACACGCAGCCCAGCCTAACAGATGTTGCTCTCCGATGTTAGCTTTCCTACTTTTGCAGCAATTTGCAAGACTCTTTAATGAAGACTGGGGGAACTCAGAAAACTCTGATGTTATCTCTAAACTTCCTTCTTTCTATATTTCAGTAAATGAGTCTGAGATGCGAGCCTGGCTTATGTTGGACCCTTGACAGAAATGCATGCAGTGGACAAAGGTTTTGCCCCCTCCAGTTTAATTGCATTTATATTTGAACTGTTCAGATCAGCATTATTCCTGGAGAATGACAGCTGGCATATCTTTCAGTAATGCAATTTTATCACTGAGATCTGCTCTCCACTAAACAACTTGCTCTATGTAAATGCAAGGGCAGTCAGTGTGCTAAGTGTCCTGAATCAGGGCATTCATTTTCCCACCACAAGTATTTTAAAAAGTAAAGAGAATAAAACATTGAAAAAGTTTGCCTGAAAAACTAGCTTGAAATGTACAAATAGCAAAAACATGGTTAAAGAAAATGCTAAGGGTAACAGCTAATGATTATAGATAAGTCAACTACCCTTGACAGCCATGCTTAACCTTGCTCAAATGTGCAACAATGAGTGTCTTTATACAAGATAAGTGACCATTAAAGGAACTTTTAGAATCAGTACAAACCTCATCCAATACAACAAGGAAAACAATACTGGTTCACTTTCTAATCAAGGGGATATCAAAGATAAAACATAAGGTTCCTTAAGAAAAATTAGTCAACCAATTTATTTCTCTTTCTAAACTATTAGTTAAATATTATATTATCATTTAATATTATTAGTTTATTAATTTTTCCTTGTATTTGTTCTTGGTTTTCAACTGCATTTTTTTGTATTATATGTAAAGATGAATACTTGGGACTGGAGAGATAGTTTTGTCAGTAAAAAGCTTGCTATGCAAGCATGGAAGATGAGTTTTATACATAAAATCTACTTTAAAAAAATCAGTGTGATTAATAGTGGTCATTTGTGATGTCAAAACTGGGGACATAGAGAAAGGTGGTTCCTAGGGCTCACTGGCCATCCATCCAAGTCCACTTGTTAAGCTCCAAATCAATGAGAGACCTGTCTCAAAATAAAACAGATGGAACTTGAATAAAGACATCTAAGGTTGTTGTCTGGACTTTCCCATGTGTACTTTCCTGCATGTGTACTTATAGACACACACACATACACACACACTCACACCATATACCACATGCAGGCAGACACACACAGATGATGTGGGATGCCCTTCTATATGCTATGAATATGTCTTACTACCATTGGTTAATAAAGAAGCTGTTTTGGCCAATAGCCAGGCAGAATAGAGCCAGGTGGGAAAACCAAGCAGAGAGATGCGAGAAAGAAGGCAGAGTTGGAGAGATGCCAGCAGTCACCAGAGAAGTAAGATGTGAGATAACAAACCACGAGCCTCATGGTAAAATATAAACTAATAGAATTGGCTAATTTAAATTGTAAGAGCTAGTTAATAATAAGTTAATATTAAGCCTCTGAGTGGATATTTGGGAACTGTTAGGTGGGAGTAAAACCTCCAGTTACAAATGGCACCAAATGTGAGGCATGAACTCATGACCCTGAGATTAAGAGTCACAGCCTCTACCAACTGAGCTAACCAGTAACTTATACATAACACTTGTACTTTTCACTACCAAATCAAAGAATCATGAAGAAATCAGTATGCTCAGAGAGAGGGAGATTATAACAATACACCTGAAGGCTACAGACGTATGGATCGAAACAGATGCAGCTATATAAATCTAACAACAGAATCTATCCCTAAGCCAGTATCTGCAACAGAAGCAAATTCTCATGGAAATGAATGAGTTTAGTGACGTGGGGCTACCAGGAAGATCATGGTCTGGGAAGCATAGGTGCCACACGCCGATGCTTTCCTCGGTGGCTCTCTCTGGCATTCGACCTCCTCTTCATTTTGCAAAATGTCACTGCCGTCACTGTTGTTGTTGGTCTCATAATCAGAGGTAACTTGGGAAGTGTCCTCTGCAGTGGAGAGAGAAGAGCCTGTTATAAGAGACCTGTGATGGGAAAGGGGACACAAGGAAGTAAGTCCTCCTGAACCACATCAGCATATAATGAAATATCTAGGGAGACTGCATTCACGGATCTATAGATCAAAGGCATAGAAAAAAAGGGAGGGAAAATATAGTTTCAAGGTTTATTTTAGTTTTGACTATGTGTATGCAGCATGTCTGTGTGCACATGATTTATATGCCAATGGAGAAAAGATGAAGGTGTTAAGATCCCTTGGAACTGGAGTTATAGGCAGCTGGCTGCAAACTATCCATCATGGGTGCTGGGAACATAACTCAGGTTTTCTGGGAGAGTAATATATATTTTATACATTTATCTCTTTTATACAATCTCTTCAGTCCCTCAAATACATTTCTAATCCTAGTAAATAGATGGAAATTAAGATATGTGACTTATGTAACAGTCAGTGATCTCTCTATAGTAACTTTCAGATCAATTATTTGCATTAATTCTATAAGTTTACATCTTTCCTTCTTTCTCTTTCTTCCCTTGCCTCCCTTTCTTCTTTATTTTCCTTCCTTTCTTTTTCCATTCCTTCCTCTCTTTCTTTCTCCCTTTATTCTTCCCTTTCTTCCTTTTTCTTTCTTTCTTTTCCTTCCTTCCTTCCTTTCTTTCTTCTTTCTT